TTTTTTTTTCTGTTTTCTTTTCTTCTTTTTTTTTATTCTATTTCCTTTCAGTTTTCTTTTATTTTTGTTTTATAAAATATAAAAGTTGTATCTTAAATAGTAACACTAATTATACCTCTGCCACAAAAAGGTTTAACCCCCAAATAATATAGTTTAGTATTTTATAAAATACCAACACATTTATTTATTTGTTTTACCGACAGTTTTAATTAATTGAATGCATTTAGACATTTTATAAAAATGTGGTTCCTCCACCAACATTACTTATGATTTATTTGTTACATTTAGAACATTTTAGTTTTGACTTTTGAAAACTTTAACTGTTTGACTTGATTTTAAATTTTGAATTCAAACCGTTTTTGAACCCTCGCAAGAGTAATAACAGTAACCGAGGGGACGTGGCATCATTAGCGTGGAATTACTGTAGCATGATTACCCGGGCGTCACATGTACAAAAAGAAGAGAGAAGGATGCGGGTTATTTTCGAAAAAATGTTTCTTGCGGCCAGACATTTTTTTGACTAATAGAGGATATATGCATGATTAAATAAAAAGTAAGGGTTGTTTTTGTAAAAAAAGCAAGCCACGTCAGCCCCTGACACACGGGTCCTAGGGCCAGATACACCGTCAATACACGTTTATACGTGGCTTAGACTGTTTGGCAACACTTAGGCTTAGAGTTGGTACTGCATGGCAAAAAAAATGACTAATGATACTGATTCGTTACGACGTGCCGAAGTGTGGCAGTTTCCTGCAATTAACTCGGGAGGATTTCATGGACGTCGGAGAGAAAGAAAAAAGATGTACAAAAAGAAGAGAGAAGGATGCGGGTTATTTTCAAAAAAATGTTTCTTGCGGCCAGACATTTTTTTGACAAATAGAGGATATATGCGTGATTAAATAAAAAGTAAGGGTTGTTTTTATAAAAAAGCAAGCCACGTCAGCCCCTGACACACGGGTCCCAGCGGTCAGATACGCCGTCAATACACGTTTATACGTGGCTTAGACTGTTTTGCAACACTTAGGCTTAGAGTTGGTATTGCATGGCAAAAAAATGACTAATTGTACTGATTCGTTACGACGTGCCGAAGTGTGGTAGTTTCCTGCAATTAACTCGGGAGGATTTCATGACCGTCAGAGTGAAAGAAAAAATATGTACAAAAAGAAGAGAAAAGGATGCGGGTTATTTTCGAAAAAATGTTTCTTGCGGCCAGACATTTTTTTGACAAATAGAGGATATATGCGTGATTAAATAAAAAGTAAGGGTTATTTTTGTAAAAAAGCAAGCCACGTCAGCCCCTGACACACGGGCCCCAGCGGTCAGATACACCGTCAATACACGTTTATACGTGGCTTAGACTGTTTTGCAACACTTAGGCTTAGAGTTGGTACTGCATGGCAAAAAAAATGACTAATGGTACTTATTCATTACGACGGGCCGAAGTGTGGTAGTTCCCTGCAATTAACTTGGGAGAATTCCATGGCCGTTGGAGAGAAATAAAAAAGATGTACAAAAAGAAGAGAGAAGGATGCTGGAGAGGGGAAAAGAGATAAGTATGTGGGCCCGCCACCACACATGTGTCACTGTAGCACGTGCGTGGATGCGACCAGCCGAAGCTTCGGCCGGCTGGTTGGCGCAAAACATTTCCCTTTGTCATCGTCTGACATTTTGTTTTCGAAAGAGCCTGGGCTTGCCTAGCGGGCAAATTTGGTGTTTTGACCTTTTTGTGAAAGCTGAGTCGGATCTGACCTTGGTTCGATTTTTTTTAGATTTACTTTTCTTACCGCCGGGGTCGATGGCGGTAGGGTACAACTGCCTACCACCGAGCCCTTGGCTGTAGGGTTGCACGCCCTACCGTGAAAATCTCTAAGTATCAAATACAGTGCTTGTACCGACCTACCACCGGGCACCACGGCGATAGGGTTGTACAGACTACCGCCAACCTGTTTGACAGTAGAACTACATCGCGCTGACGTGGCGCTAGAAAAAGGGTTAACTCCCAATTTTTTTTGAGAGAAATTCTTCATTCAAATTACGAATCAGTACAAAGTAGTTGACTCTTACAAGCACACTGAAACGCAAACATAAAGGACCATGAACACCTAGAGTACCCTAAGACAACCATAACACAAGAAGATCTCCGGAGCCCTGTGTCATCATCCCTGAATCTTGAGAGAAGACCCCTGCAGCAGAAGGATCTGCAACCAGTCACAAACAGGTCATCATCTTCGACCATGATACAATTGCCGCGACGCTGCTTCCTCCTTTCTTGACACCAGCGCTGAGAGGGCATGGACATTAATCCAACACACCTGCAACAGCCGTCGCCATCTTTGGCTTTGAGTACCGCGAAAAGTGTCCCTTCCGAAAGGAAGAGAACTCGAGTCATCCGACCGTTCCAGCACCGCGGCCGGGCCATCCACCCGGACAATGCAGGATCTCCCACCAGTATCAGCGCAGAGGAAGGATAAGAACAGCAACATCAAATCATACCAATAAGGAAGAAGAAAGGTCTTCGTCTCCCTGCATCCATCGCCCATCTGAGGATCCAAACGGACAGTGCCGATGGATCTCCAACCACCATAGCCCGCGACCTCGATGAGATCCGGGGATCCCCAACATCGCTGGCTCCTAGACGAAGGCAAAAGCCTCGCCTGACCGCGAACGGAGCCCGGAGAAACTTATTCCGACGCGACACCACCGCAACGGCCTCGGCAGCGTCTCCCTCAACCCTAACCCTACCACACACCCACCTAGCGAACAGACCCGGGGTCCCCCCTCCCTCCCGCCGCCGGAGCGGCCGACAAAGAGAGGGAACCGGCGGCGTCACTGGCGGCGTGCAAGGGATCCCGGTCACCTCCCTCCGATCGCCTGATGCAATCCTACTTTTTCGGCTTACCCCCTCGCCCAGCAACTCCCAAATTTTTTTCGAACCAGAGTCGGATCTGGCTCAACTTTTGCCCTGTACCCTGTGCGGGCGCGAGAGGTTCCTTCGAAATCGAAAGAAAGAAAAAGTTCCGTAAAAAAAAAGTGTGTGCGGTGCGGGAGTCCTGTCAGTCCGGCTTCCTCCCGTCCCGTGTTTGGCTACTCTCCGGCGGCGCAGACGCAATCCCTCTCCCACCTCGCCTTCACGGCTCGCCTTGTTGCCCCCCAAAAATTGTTGCCGACCGGGAGAGAGAGAGAGACAATGGGAATCGCTTCGCCTGATTTCTCGTCTCGAGCCTGGCGTCGTCGAACCATGGGGCCGCCGGCACTCAACCGGCTCATGTCTGTGCAGCGGCGTCGCCGTCGCCGGCCAGCTCAAGGCCGCAGTACACCGCCTCTTACGGCCCCCCCCTCCCCCTCGCCTGCTCTGATTATTCATCTCTGCTATGTGTTCTGTAACCCATTCCTCCTTTTTTTCTGCGATGGATCTGTAACCTGTTCAACAGTCTTGTGAACAGAAGCATGTAGTGATGTTCAGAGGGGAAGAACTCCTTTTCATTGTGTCTGCAGTATGCTGTTTACAGTTTCTTTTTTCGGAGGATGAAAGAACAGTGTACTTGTTCTCCCATTCAGTATCTCTGTTATTCTAACCAATGCATCATATATACTGCATTGCAGGTGGATTGGTGACTAAAGTTCAGTGGCTAAAAGGAAGAACTCACGCTGCTGATAATTAACCTTCCAGAGGTAATGCTGATAATGAGAATTCTCGGGGTGATAAAAAAATTGAGATATTCAGACCAACCCTTCCAGAGGTTCGTCTTAAATTAGTGCTGATAATTAGCAGCTTGTATTGCAAGTAAAAATATCTCCGTGACTGTTCTAGCAGTCTAGCCGCACAAATTGGTGGATCTATACTAGCTAACCAAGCCTTTTAAAAAAACTTAATTAGACGTCATACTTTCCTACAGCTATCCCCCTAGTAGTTGCTTGAACTTCTTCCCTTGTGATTGTGGTCAGTGTCCAGTGTCTCCCCTTAATGTAATGCCCGAAACTGGGCAAGCCATATGGAGCCTAAATTGGGGGCGTGCCAAATGTGAGTGCAAAAGCATGGGTGTTTGGAAAATTTGAAAATCGACCCAAGTGGGGATATATTTGTGGGTTGCATCACTCTCAATCATAGAGCTGTTATAGTACCTATGCTATGCTAATGCTAGGGCGCCCCCGCATAGTGAGGCCTCCTTTGGTTCATAGGGTAGGAGAATCATAGGAATAGGAAAGTTATAGGAAATGAGATGACATGCTTCTCAAATCCTATGAGTAGGAATAGGAAATGAGATGTCCTTTGTTTCACATCATAGGATTTTTTCCATTGAGTCTAGCCTAATGTTTATTTTCCTATGAAATGTGAAGGATAGGAAGAATTCCTTCATAGAAATAGGATTCTATTCCTACAAACCAAAGGGCACTAAAGGAATTTTTCCTACAGAAATCCTATCCTATGAAATCCCTACAAAATTCCTCCAAACCAAAGGAGGCCTGATTCTCTAAGGTAGGATTATTATACTCATCATTAGATCAGAAAGCTAATCAATGCACATGACACTACACGGAAACCGATAAAGGCCTTGTGAAATATTCGCGTCTTATTGTATTGGTATCGTCTTAGACAGACAGTCGGACAGATCCAGTGGCTCTGTTTGGTGCTGAAGAGAGGCAACCACTATACCTGTATAATACCAATACAGGCAAAACAGCCTTCTTCACTCTGGAAACAGTTACGCTTGGACTAGACATCCTAGCTAGCTAACAGCATCCTCTTTGATCCAGATCCACACCACCATAGCAAATTAAGCAGCACAGAGCGTAGTGTGATGGAGCAGCAAGGATCCATCAACATGACAGCTGCCATGGAGGCTCTCTCCCCCTTCTTGAAGAAGCCACGGAGGATCATCATCCAGGTCGAGGCTTTCACGTCAGGGATCGTATTGCTGCTGCTCCTGCAGCTCATCCTCGGTTCCTTCAGACGGCAGTCGACCAACTTCTTGGTTCAAGCTGGTACGTGGGTGACCTACACTCTGTCGTTCCCAGCTATCGCCTTCACCCTGGGCTTGATGCAGTCCTCTCCGGTGAAGAATGTCATGTACCCCATCTGGGCCGTCTCATTGCTGATGGCCGCTGGGTGCACCAACGCTGTCAAGGTCTACGAGCTCAACGACAACAAGCAATGGAAGCGGAGTCTTTTCAATATCCTCCAGTATATCTTCTATGTTATGTTGATCTGCGCGCTAATTTCTACCTATACCACCAAACAAGAAGGGGTTTATTTCCGCGCTCTCTCCACCATCTTTGCAACTTTTAAGTCTCCTGTGAGTGTTCTCATTGCTCTGGCTGCCGTTGCCTTACTTACAGGAGTCATGGGTAGAGAGTTTGCATGTGTGTTGGTTGAGGTTGGCTATTTCATGGCCAGAGGAGTTGCCAAGTTCATGAAGAACCTGCCTGCTGATGATGGCGATGGGTTCGATCCTGCCACCATGAAAGGCTACAAGTACCCTGTTCAAATTAATGGACCTTTTGGTCGTGTCACCATCGACCAGATCTGGCACTGTGAAGGCAGGCTCCTCAGCTCAGGTACTGTTCACTGCAAGGAGCTCAAGGACTTGTGTCTGGCTAAAGCCATGTGTGAGCTATTGAAGCGGCGCTACTATGGCTTGTCATTCGCCGAGGAACACCTTAATGAAACCCATGATTTTGTCTTCAAGGGGTTGCTACAGAAACAAGCTGACTACGAGAGAGCTTTCCGTATTGTTGAAATGGAGCTGGGCTTCTGCCATGACTTCTTTTTTACTAAACATGCCATCATCTTTGAGCTGGAGTTTGCATTCTTCCTGCTCTTCATTATGAGGATTGTTCTCATTGCGACATGTGTATCCTTTGTCGTGCAGAGTACACTATCTGTCCAGAAAATCAGCCCTATCATTGAAGTGCACACGGAAAGGGCTGAACAGATCATCACTCTCCTTGTTTTGGCCACATTCCTCCTCATAGAAATCCTTCAAGCAACATTTTATTTGGCCTCGGATTGGTGCAAGGTGTCAGTTACTTGTAGGTATGTCAAAAGATCTTGGTATCACCACAATGCTTTCATTCAGAAGCTTATCGGATATATTAGCAGATTTGCCATTTTCGGGTACTGGAAGAATAAGATTGACCAGTACTCGATAATTCCGCGTATCACTGCTGGTGATTCGTCTGGGGACAGTAGTCACCCAATAAACATGTTGCAAGCAGTCAAGCGGGCTATTGCTAGCTCCCTAATATCATGTGATGGTCCACCAACTAATGGAGAAGCGTCATTAGAGGGGAAGGGTGTGCTCTTGGAGTTTTCTTGGGCATTGCAGGGTCAATCTCAAACAGAGACTATGTTAATTTGGAGCATCGCCACTGATTACTGCCATATGACTCCCCCTACCGGGGATGGGGAGCACGTGAATGGGGCGTCTGAAAATGAACAAGACACAAAGGTGAACAGGACTGTATCAGTCTGCCTGTCAAGATATTGCACGTATTTGATGAACTCTGCCCCAGAATTGCTTCCAGGACACTTTGGAGATACAAAGTTGGCCATGTCTGAAGTAAAACGTGAAGCATACAAAGCTCTAAGATCCCAGAATGTTTCTTCCAGACCAGGCTTAACATCCCAGAATGTCAATTCTGAATCGGGCGATTACAGCTTCATATTCCAGAATATTTTAATTTTTGACGGTAATGATGTTGAACTGCCAGCCTTTGTATCAATTGCTGCATCCCAGAAAATTTACCTGGCTATGAATCGTTTACAAGACCAAGAGGAAGACAGGAGCATCTTCATGAGAGGTGTGAAGCTTGGCAAGCAGCTAGAGGGCATACCGAGCAGTGCTCTTCGCTGGAAGATAATGGCGGATTTCTGGGCTGAGAAGATCCTCTACATCGCACCATCAGACAATGTTAAAGGACACATGGAACTTCTCGCAAAGGGGGGAGAGTTTCTCACCCACATCTGGGTCCTCCTTACTCATGCTGGCATCCTCAAGATTAACAGGGAGGAAGACAACAACACAACGCCCAGGCGCCAACCACCCCAAGGAGATGTGTAGTAATTTCAGTTGTAGCTGCTTTGCTTTCCTGTACCTCTATCTTGCATGCATTTTCTTATCTTGAAAAGCTTTATTTCTGTTGTACTGTATCAAGTGTAGTGCTCCATTCCAATGGTGCGTGTAATCTGCACAATTATTGTTGTATCATTTTAGAATTGTCATATGCAAAAACAGTGATGTTTTATTGGTTTGTGTGGAAATTTGTGTTATTCTGATAGCCTTTTTTAGGGGGCATGGATAGCACCGTGCGTCAAGATACTCTCATCTCATGCAGCTAGCCAAGGATGCTCATGCTAATGTCATGGTGGAAGATTTTATGGAATGCTTCTTGTGACTGAATCGTAGTATTACTAAGGATCATGGTCAATTGCTCTGAAGGCAGAACAAAAACCACCACAGCAAAGCTTGTAGGAATCAGGTGCGATGCGCACCTTAATGTGGCAGTTCCACCAATTTAATTTAAACCACGACGTTCATGGAGGTTGAAGTGCAGCCTAAAAACAGCACCGTGTATGCGGATGGAGCGGAATAGATCCCCGTCTGCCGTGAGCTTCCAAACAAGGGAGTCCGAACGCAGCCCACTGTCTAACCATGTGGAGTGCCAAAATCGGTTTGCTTGCCATCTCCAATGGTGGCTGACATTGGCCTGAAAAAAATCATGATCTGAGAAAATGATCATTGAGCTACTCGTGGGGGAGCGATTGAGGGAGAGTGAAGGTGCTGGTCGATCATTACCCTGAGGTCCAATCGGCTCTAAAATGGGGAAAAGACACTCGTGCGCCGTTAAGAAAATGCAGAAACTAACATGTTGGATGCCAAGCCGATATGTGAAGGGTTAACATGATCGCCGTTTACAAATAATAACACCACCATCATAGTCTGACACATTTGTTAATCCTTTGTTCGACTACAAACTACTAGCTGGCTAAACGTGATACATTATTATGACCGGCATATTAGGGGCTTAGCCAGTTAGTTGTGGCCCAGTTTATCTTATCGTTATTAGGGGCTTAGCCCAATTATCTTATTAGAAGGATTATATAAACTCGTGTAAGGACCCGTTTTGGGATTAAGTAAGAAACAATCATATTTGCTCGGCTTTCTTAGGGAGCCGGAAGACCTAGCCCTAGCCGCCGCTGCGTTCTCTCTCTCTCTCACGCGCATGCAACGACGACACCCCAGCGTCGGCGACCACGCCTTCCTCCATGCCATCCCTCTTTCCACCCCTACAACCTGAGACCACACCCAGGTAGGGATCCGGTTCCTACCAATTTGGTATCAGATAGCTTCGGTGCGATCATGTCCTCGCTGCCGCCCACCCCGACCCTTCCGCTGCCGACTGTGACGACCGCCCCAATGGCCACCACGGCCAGCGCCCGCTCTTGCTGGTGCCGATCACCTCCGCCGCGCCCGTTCCCATGGTCTTCACCCCGGAGGAGATGACGGCTGCCATCCGGGATCTCACCGAGGCGGTCACGGGCATCTACACGTTCCTCATGAGATCCTATGGGCCGCAGCCGCCTGTGCCCTTCCCCGCCGCCCCGCCGCCATGGCAGCCGCCGTCCTCGGCGACCCCCGTCACCACCACCATGCAGCAGGTACCGCGGCAGCCGCCACCAGCGATGAACCCCGGCGCCTCCACCATGCAGCAGGGGCAACAGCTGCAGCCGCCGCCACCGGCGACCGTGGCCCTGTGCATCCCGACGACGGGCCTGGGGGTGCCCATCCACCAGGTCCGGTTTCCCCCGTCGCCGTCTACGTTACCGGCCTGGCTCGGTGGGTCCCTTGCGCCGGTCTACACGATGGCCTCGGTTGGGCCGCACGTGCTGCCTCCGCCGGCGACGCACCCGACCATGCAGTTTGGCGGGTACTCGGGCTACATCGAGCCCTTCGCCAGCGTTGACGGGCCCCTGTTCCAGGGCGGCACCTTGATGCCCGCCTACTCGGCCCCGTCATCCTTGCTGTGCCGTGCTGACGAGGCGCACCCGCCCGTCGTCCACGTCCAAATGCCGCCGAGATTCTCCAAGCTGGAGTTCGCGACCTACGACGACACCGTCAACTCCCTGAATTGGCTCGACCAATGCAACCAATTTTTCAGGGGACAACGCACGCTCACATCAGACCGCACCTGCATCGCCTCGTATCATCTTCGAGGAGCCGCGCAGACGTGGTACTACACCCTCAAACAGGACGAGGGCGGCATGCCACCATGGGAGCGCTTTAGCGAATTGTGCCTCTTGCGCTTCGGTCCGCCTATACGCGGGAGCTGTCTGGCGGAGCTTGGGCGTCTTCCGTTCCTCACCTCGGTGCAAGACTTCGCCAACCGCTTCCAGGCATTGGCGTGCCACGCCCCCGGCGTTTCGGCTCGTCAGCGGGCTGAGCTCTTTGTCGGCGGCCTACCGGACCACATTCGCGTGGATGTGGAGATGCGCGGGCCACATGACCTCCAAACGACCATGTACTACGCCCGCGCGTTCGAGCGTCGCGCGGTGGCCATCCAACATGCGCCACCGCCTCGGGCCGTTGGGTCGCCACCCTAGCCGGAAGTTCCCGCGCAGGGTCGGCCCGCCCAGGCTTCCGCGGCGCCCCTCGCCGCGGCTGCGACATGCCCGTTCCGCCGGCTCACCCCGGTCGAGCAACTCGAGGGTCGCCGCCAAGGGTTGTGCTTCAACTACGACGAGTCCTATGTACCAGGCCACTCTTCTACCTGGAGGCTGCAGACTATATTGAGGAGGACCCCGCCACCACCGGGCTCGGCGATCAGCCCGCCCCAATTGACGCAGAGGTGTTTGGCGACCGTTGATCCGCCCCGCCTTCCAGCTCGAGGATGAGCTGTTTGTGCAGGTGGGGAGAGATGTTATGACCGGCTTATTGGGGGCTTAGCCCTGTTAGTTGTGACCCAGTTTATCTTATCATTATTAGGGGCTTAGCCTAATTATCTTATTAGGAGGATTATATAAACTCATGTAAGGACCCGTTTTGGGATTAAGTAAGAAGCAATCATATTTGCTCGGCTTCCTTAGGGAGTCGGGGGACCTAACCCTAGCCGTCACTACGCTCTCTCCCCCGCGCGCACGCACGCAACGACGGCACCCCAGCGCCGGCGACCACGCCTTCCTCCACGCCATCCCTCCTTCCACCCCTATAACCTGTGACCACGCCCTGGTAGGGATCCGGTTCCTACCATACATCACTGCTGATAGCACAAATATGAGACTGATGCATTTAAAGTAAAAAGTATGGTAACCTAATGAAAAGAAAAAGATGCAAATGCCACTTTTTCCTACCCATGCCGAATTACATAAAAAAATTGCAAGGAGAGAGAAATTACAAAGCCAAAAACGCTCAGCTAGCTTAAAGAGGCCGGAATCACCGTTATGACCTTTTTAACAATCTTTGTCACAAAGTGAACTCGACATAAAAGTATTTCACGATCTGACCCTTTTAGCAACGCCACAGCCCGTGGCGTTTCTTCTCCATATAGAAACGCCAAGATAGCTCGCGTTTCAGCTCCACATTCAAACGTCATGATAGCTTGCGTTTTTGTTCCACATAGAAACGCCAAGAGGCCTGGCGTTGCTGCCCAGGCGAACAACACAGTGCACTTATCTGACCGATCGACCATGAGCCGCTGGCGCTGCAAAGCAACGCAGAGCATCACACGCGTGCATGCATGCATGCGCCGCTCTAGCTGCATGGTCCTCATCGAGCACAACTCCTCATGCATCATACTTCAATTTGCCATGCCACTACGTACGTACGGCACACCCAGTGGCCAAGCACGCATTGATTCATGCATGCATGCACGGTCGCGCGCCCGGTGCATGCACGGACAGCAGCGCAGCCTGTCCCGTCAGCATGGAGGCGAACTGTGCGCGCGTCAGTGTACTGTTTTTCTTCTGGGTTAGAAAACCTAGCTGGCTAGTGTTGGCAGTAAACTAGTACCAGCTAGTTCATCTGTCTGTGCAGCTCCTCGGCATCCATCTAGTATCTACCTACTCACTCGTGCATGCAAGCCCACTACCACTAGCTAGCTACAGGAACCATGCATACATGCATTCATCAATTCTTGCAAATATTTCTTTATACCACATATGAAACGCCAAAGCCAATGGCGTTGCCATGTAGGGGAGAAACGCCAAAGCGGTTGGCGTTTCCATGTGGTGAAGAAACGCTAGATACCTCGGCGTTTTCATGTGGAGCAGCAACGCTAGCTAGCTCGGCATTTTTATGTGAAGCAGAAACGTCACGGTTTATGGCGTTTCTAAAAGGGTTAGATTGTGAAATACTTTCATGTCGAGTTCAGTTCGTGACAAAGATCGTCGAGAAGATCAGAACAGTGATTTCGGCCGCTTAAAGACACAGTACGATCATATTCTAGAGCTGACATGTGACCAACTATCACATGCCCCATGCATCCATTGAAAAACGAATCTAAATGCTTCGAAAAATTTCAAGAACATGTGAATGTTCACAAGACACGTGTTTACCACACCTACAAAATTCAGATCCAAATAGGAAATATACATTTGAGAAACTAAAAAGACAAATCCAAATGCAAACAGTGTCATTTATGCTTGTCTTTTTTTGACATTATTCATGCTGAATTTGCATATTTTTTTTTAGTTTCTCCATGTATAGTTTGAATTTAGGTCTGAAATTTTTAGGGGATGTAACTGCATGTCTTGTGCACCCTCACCAAAAAAATCAGAATGCTTTGAGACAATTGAATTGGTTTTTTGGAAGTTGTGATCATGGGAGCATTTAAGGGGTGGTATCACCTGATATTCCCAGCTGACACAGCCTTGCCCTGCTCCACGAGCATCCCTATCAAAGCTCAAGGTTAACATTTGAGAAAGCATAGGCTTTGGAACACCCCCTTATCTACCCATCCATTTCTTCATCAAGATTCGTGCCAGAACTTGTCTTTTTTCTTTCTTCCAAATAAAACAACATATGAACTTGAAACTTTGCAGGGCAACAAAACATTCGAACTATAA